ACTACAATAAATGTAATGTATTAAGACAGTTGGGGTTACGTGCACAGAAAGAGCAGGTCACGTTAATAACCTGGGCGGCACCAGAGAAGATCAGGTTAAAATGAGCTGCATTTTTCTCGCTATTCCTGTTGTAACCCGATGAGACCAGAGTATGAGATATTCAGTTAAAGGTACTGTACTTTCATTACAGCTAAGGGACAAAACTGAGTGTTACATTTTCGTGTGTATATATAAAAAAAAAAACTTTTTCTCCAGGCATATACAGAGTGAACCAAATTATTCAAATGAATGTTTTGCTTACTGGAAGGAGGGTGGTCTGGAGTCCCCAATGCCCCCTGTCCTCTCTGCAGGTGGTGGTGGTAGGGGTGGAGGAGGGGGTGAAGGCTGGGTCGGCGTTTCCACAGGAGGAACCACTGCCACTGGAGGCTCTGCTGTAGGAGTGTCTGAGGACACCAGCTGAAAGAGAGAAGGAAAAAACAATATCAGCAAGAGACTCAACAGACAAAGAAAGACTGTGAGCGAGCACGTCAAAGGTTTAAAAGAGACAGGAGATGAAGACATGTAGGAAAAAAGACACCGTCTGTAGAGTTGGGAGAAAACGTGGTGGAAATTGAGAGAGAGAGAGAGAGGTGAGGAGAAAAGGGTGAGAAATTGAGAGGAATGAAAGGAGGAGTAGGAAGAGGGTATCAAGAGGAAAGTGGGTAAGATGTCAATTACTTTGACACACAAACACTGCACTCTTTTCATTTGGACGTCTCAGGGGCAAACTGAAACGCTATCCTACACTTAACCTGTCTCTCTCCATTACACAACAAAAGTGCCCACAAACACACAGAAACACACATCATCAACAAGCCTAAATGTCTTACAACATCCTTTGTGTGAACCGTAAGAGCAGAAACAAAGTTCATAAATATGACTGTACTAAAAATATTTTTATCATCCAGGCATTGAACACCCAATCGCTGAAAGTGTAATGGTCTCCTGAATGTGTTTTTTCCATCACGTCTTCAGTTTGAATTCTCATAATTAGCACAGCATGTCAAAAAATTCGCATAAATGGAGTTCAACACCATGGTGTATTTCTCTCTGTACCAAGTAACTGGATTTAAAAGCTTTCGACTTAGAAAGCCTGGTCTGCTGGGATCTCTCGGCCACACTGGTGTGTAGCTCACATGTCAGTCCCCCTGGTCTCGGAGCTTTGTTCTCCTTTCTCTTTCCTAATACCTACCTCGTTCTTATGCACTTAACAGATGCTTTGGACTCAGATCTGGTTATCTGGGCCAAATCCCCATGTTTTGTCTGTGTTCAGATGTAACCTACGGGGTGGGGTACAACAGCTGGTACTTCCAGTGCAGAAATGGAAAGTATGACAACTGTACCTGCCAATGAACTATCCTGGGACTGGTCACAAACGATTTTCAAGACCAGAGATACCAGGAAAAGATCAATTCAGGCACTCGTCCACACCAAAAAGTTATTATTTAAGCATCAGTTTAAGCCAACAGAACGCAGTTTTGGTGGAAAACTCAGACACAAATATTTTGCCTTTTGACTGACACTAATTATTTTTGACAGTGATTCCACAAAATGCTTAAAAACATGTAAGACATTTTGTCCCACATTGATGTGATAGCATCACGCAGCTGCAGATGTTTGAGCACCACATCAAAGATGAGGGTCTCTTGTTCAACTTAATCCCAAATGTTGTTGTACTGAATTAACACAAACCATTAAAGCGCTGCCGACCAACTGCTTTGTTCAGTGAACCAGTCTGAGACCTGTATAGAGGTGGACCTAACCCTGTGACCCCGGAGATTCTTTGCATACGAGACAAATGACCAGAAAATGATCAGTCACTTGTGTCAGTTTCAGGTCATTTCATTGTTTGCTATTACACTAGTCATTAGTGTAATGCTAAATCATGTCTATGACAAAGTTACAGGAACACAAACATAACTTGGCATCCTAAAGACTAACACCCAGGCAACCACCCAAGTCAGTAAACATAAGTGCACTAAAATCACATGCTCATTGTGATGTCACAGAGTGGGTGACATCAAAAGTTGTGAGACATTTCCAGATTTTGGCAGATTTCTAAACACCTACTAGTTGTAGATGGCAGCTAAAGAGTAGGCAGACACTATTTCTTCCCATTTAAAGCATAAATAGCAGTTATGGTGAAATGTGTGAAATAAAAGGTTTACTCCAATATTCTTGTTATAAAACTAATTTGTGAAAGGGCATGACCTTCAATTTAAAACAAACTGAGAGACTGCAGATGCTACTGGTCATACTGACACAGAATAAACTCTAGGAAAATGTTCCTCATGTTATTGGTGCCTGGTCTTTTTTCTACTCTTTAACTTGGACATGATACATAATTATGCAAATGTAGGAACCTAAGACAGAACCTTGCTTATGTCACTTTACTGCTGCTTATTAGGCATGATTGTTGTTCCAAAAAGTTGTGTGGAAAAAAAGATAAGTTGTTTAGGAAAATCATCCTTTGGCAGATCTTGTTGGCTGGGTTTGGACATTAAAGAAAAGGATCCTGTTCTTTCAAGCCAAACAGGGAGCCGAGCTGAAATAGAAACATTTAAAAGAAGGCTCTTTTCCACAAAAAAATACTTATCACAGTAAGAAAAGCTGTGTTTGGCTTAATTTACTTAATGACTGGGACTCTCAAGGCAAACAAAGCCATATTTAATGTTATCAGGAACATCTGGATCTTTCCTGCTGTGACAAAGCCCAAAAATGTCTGCTGCGAAAAGGGAAAAACCTGTTTGTGTTGGAAGAACTTCTGTGAATCACACACCTCCCAGTATGCATTGGGTTTTATTATTTCTTACCCATGACACCACTCTCCCATTGAAACACGGCAACCTGGCGCTGTCATCAGAAATCTCTTCTTTCACCACCCTGGATAACAGAAGAAAGAGCAAAGTTAGGTAAGTATCGTGTAGTTCTGCCCACATAATGTCTTGGCACAGTATGTTGTGTCTGGATGGTACAGCAGAGTGGAGGAATTAAAGGAGAAGGGGGGGGGCGGAGGAACTTAAACGTGGCCTTAGTCTAGCCACGGAAGAATGTGATACTGCAGGGGGAATTAAATGGTTTACATTGATGACACATCATGAAAAATTTATTGGGCTGTGAAACAAAGTGGTGGGATTAAATCAAACACTCGCTTTGTACCACACTCATGTACTGCCTTTATATGCATGTCGCCTGGTGTTTAGTGTTTTGGTCTGTGGCCCACATTAGTGACTAAAGTGGCTTTGATGGAGTCATAGATCAACTTATAGCGCATAAATACCACACAGACCTTTTAAATAGGTTTCTCCTGAACAGTGTATTTAAAATATATATTTAAATATTATAACATATAAGAACTTTGTTATTCTGAACCATAACAACTTACCTCAATAAATGCACACACATTTTACACTGTTATTAAAATGAAACCCTTAACCTAAGTCCCAATGGCCATGTCAACCATCATCTGTTTTTTAGGTCACTTAAGTGACAGATGACACTGAAACATATATTTTTGTGGTCTTAACATTTACATACCAGACACGTTATGAATTTTTTAATGCGATTGTGTCAGCTTGGCTTTTTAGCTCACACCCAGAGACTGTAGTTTTAAATATATATATTGCGATATACTGCAATACTACAGGCAGGAGAATATATTAAGTTCTTTAAACATTTTAATTTTAGGAACATTTTTAGCATAGTTTTAGATACTTTTAATCAGTGTACTACAACTGTAACAGAGGGTTCCTCATTTGTAAAGCAAACTAAAATGAACCAACGACATGAATATAATAAAAAAATTACTAAAGTGCTGTAAGATATAGATATGATGCATCCCTTACACTATCCTTCCACTGATAAAGAAAAAACCCAGATAAAATCCCTGTTACATTATCAAACATGAGCCAACACTGCCACAGCTGGACATAACGACAAATTAAATAAAGGCGCCTAAAAGGTGAGAGACGTGATGGAATTTATTCAGGCTCTCATGACAAGCTGAATACACACTCTAACTGCTTTTTCCCCCTTCACAAATTACACAAGCTGGTCACTCAATATGGATGCAAACATAAGGTCACAGAAAGACTTTCTGCCTAACTCCAGTCTCAGCCAAAGCTTCTTGGAGGCAATATATCTGTCTGGCTCCCTCCTGAACACTCCATGTTTGTCAGAAAGGCAAACATTCTGCTTTGACTGGAGTGCACCCCCACTTATCAGAGGGCCAATATATCTTTACAGTAGTTTGTGAGGACATGGACCATGGCACATGTCCCACAGGGAGACTCCAAATTTGTTTGAAAGTTTCTCTCTGCAGTTTCATCTGCCAGCTTGCATCTTCTAATGTGTGTGTGACTTGGTCAAGCTCCACTGGGCGTCCGTAGGCAGCTGTTGAGAGCTGGTTTTGTGGCCAAGTGTGAGCATACGGCCGGATTGTTGTGGGCACTGTTGAGGAGCTGCCACGGAAACCCTCTGCTTTTTAAGGGCCACGTGTATGGCTACTGAATGTTAAGTCGAGTTAACAAACAAACATTTCCTGCTTGTTTCCTTGCTGTGAGAAAAACGGCATCTTGGCAGGAGATGAACGCATGCAACATTCTTCTTCCAGGATCGTAATTGTTTTCATTCCTCAGGCCCCCAAACAAACAAGTGAGCGCAAATGAGTTCAGAACATTTCACGCAAACTCTCAAATACCTCTAACAATGCACAGACATCCCTGAAATATGTCCAGTCCTGTTTGGTTTACTAAAGCTGTTTAGTTTTTCACCCCCACTTCCATTTTCCCAAGTCCCCAGATACTGTTAAATTCCTCCTTCTCCACTGCAGCATCTCCTCTGTGACAATTAATCTTAGTGTAACAGTTCCCTGATCCCCCCTTACAGCACATGAAAACAGCAGACTATCCGATAACTCCAACTAAACACCATCCCACTTTCTCTCCTCTTCCTTCTCCCAGTGGATAAACCCCCCAAAACCCAGAAAATGGCCTCTGTCCAGCCTCTGGTTCCCAGCATCGGCTGGGGCCTGCTATGCTCTGCTCCACAGATCTCCCCCACCGCCACACACACAGCCTTGGTCGACAGCTGGCCTCGTACCAGGACAAATGAAAACACACACTATTACACACTCCTCTCTTGGGTCAGAGAGAGGGAGAGGAAGGCAAGAGAGAGAGAGAGAGAGAGAGAGAGCGAGAGGGGGAAAAACCGACCCTGCTTTGATTGGACAGCTGACTCAAAGCTATGTTTGAAATTTTTTTTTATCCAAACTCAGCTGGAGATATTCAGAGAGCATGAGATGCCAGGCCGTGAAATTTAAATTAGAAGTGGAAATTTTTCTGCAGTCTGTTTTTTTAATGAATACATTTAAAATACTCTTTGAACACCAACCTGTTTGGATGACTTAATGGACATAAAGATGCTTGACCTGTGGGAAAGTATCAACATCTGTGTTCTCAAATTCAAAATTATAATCCAATCTCCTTCAAATTTGACGCCTTAGAAATTAGACCTTCGACGGTGGTGGGGTAAGCATTGTTGAGACAATTAAACATATCGATAGGACATAATAAGTATCAAAAAGCGTACTTAGCCAAAACTAACACTAACAACTTGCTACAGTGTCTCAAACTTCTACCAAGGTGAGGATCCTTAGCTTTGTAACAGCTCATTTTACAATACACTTTGGGTTGCTAATGCTACTGCAGTAGTATAGCACTGATGTGTCTCCTAAATACAATAACTAGTAGAATTACTAGAAAACAAAAATAAACTGGTGAAAAACACTTCTTTCAACATAGGTTAACTACTTGTATAGCCAAATTAAGAAAAATGTGTCCACTAACCAACAAAGAAATATTTCTCATTTTAAACAATAATTATGTGTAATAGTAGTCAATTGAAGTCAATTTCACATGAAAGTTGGTGAAACTTTGGGCAAAAAGATTATGAACCAGTGAAATGTCTTGGGGCATTGTGTCTCTTTTAGTCTGTTTTTGTGCTGAATTGCTGAGCCTGTTGATAGCCAAAAAGTTGTCAAAAATCAAACAAATACAAAGACCCCTTGCCTTAGTTGGTGTTGTAATTGTGCTTCCTGCACAATATATAATAACACAAGTATCTTTGTTTTGGGAAAACTTATTGTAAATTAGTTTAAGAAATAATCATTTTAATAAGCAGAAGACAGTAAATGCCTATTTTTAGGTTTCTTACTGCTTTTCTATTTATCTATTTGTCTTATGACCATTTTTACTATGTTGCAGCTGTATGTGTTCAGATTCATGGCCTTGTGAAAATTACATATCTTGTCATCAAAGTGTGTTTTTGCTCCTCTTGAGACAGACTTTAACAGTTAAAAAATAAGCACACTTTCAATGCTAACCCAAAATTACAAAAGCTCTACAGGTCTTGGTGGGTGAATAAACCACAAACAGGAACAGGAAAATACACAGCAGCTATGCAGGAAAGAAAAAAAAGATGAATTGATAAGAGAGATGAGCTCTTCCTAAAGGTGGAGGAAAAAAGGAGAGAACAAGAGGAAGCCGGGGAATCAAAGAATGGCCTGAGTCAAAGAGGGGAGGAAAAAACTATAGGCTTTAGTCCTGAGAGACAGAAAAGGCAAGGATCTCAAATGATGGACTGAAGGAGGGAGGGAAGGATGAGGATTAGGGTAAAGAAAAGCAGCAGGGACAGGGAATGCCTCCCATTGTAATGATGATGTTTTCTCAGAAATGCCTCAGACTAAATACCTAGGGTATTAATAGAAGCACTGGGACATTCATCAGCACTTATTATGTCTTTTCTAATAGGGGCGGGATAGTGACACAAAAGTCCTGTTTGTGGTATGTCAATTTCTTGAATTCACACTATCTAAAGTGACTTGTGGAGGATTAGGTCTTCCCACAACAACTGTAGTAATGTTTAAGATGGAGTGAGGGAGAGCGGCAAACATCCGAGACATACAAAAAAAAAAAAATCCAGGAAACCACTGTTATTTGCAATCTGCTTGATATCACCATTGAAATACCAGGAAATTTCTTTAACTGAAAAGAGGCGATACATTTTAAAAAGGTATAGTTACTGGTCAACACACAACATACTTTCAGTTATCAGCTTAATAAAGGGAAGATAATGATAGTGTTAATGTTGGGACTATACCAACAATGATTCTCCAATTATGGAACAGATCAAGACTATTTTGTCCAGCAGGTAAAAATACTAACTTGTTATCAAGGAATGCATAAGTTGTATGCATGGAATACAATTAATAAATCTTAATTCAGAGGCACCTCGGTCAATCAACACGTGCTTTTTCAGAGTTTGTTTGTTTTGTTAGATAACATCAATAAATGATGTGCTGTAGACTAATTTGACACAGAGTGCAGTTCACTTTGTTTACTTAATGTTGAATTCGTTAGCATTCCATTAAGAGCCTAAACATGTAGTCATCCAGGTCACTCACATTGTCTATGTTGATAACCAAGCAACAAAGATTTTCATTCCATAAAATGGTACACTAGCATCACAGCACTTGGCTGCCACTGATTAACTCCTCATTGTGTAAAATGTAATACATAGTTAATCAAAAAAATGCAGGTTTTTAGGTGAAGCTTAGTACTCAATGTGTGACCTATAAAACAGACACATTAAAGAAAATATCACCAGAACAGCAGCTTTTACAACAGTCAGAACAACAGGCAGCAAAATTGGATTTGAATTGGAGATCAAATTTCTGACTTCTCGGTAATCCATGCAATCCATTTGATCACTATTGACAAGTATCTTCAAACTTTTACGGTCATAATGTGGAAAGTGAAAACAGGCAGGCAGAAAAAAACCCAGCTTTTTTTTTTTACAATACTGTTCACTGAAACTTATAAGTATTTTTTTTACAATACTGTTCACTGAAACAAAACCACCTTGGATTTTAATGGGAAGTTGCAACGTTATGTGACCTGCTTTCACCTTCAGAAGGAAATATTGATGAGTGTCATGGAAATCAGCATTACCTCAGTTACACACTTCTGGGTCACAACCCACCCTTTGAGAATCACTGCTTCTAAAACATTACAATGTAAAAAAAAAGACAGCACGTGTTAATATGGTAATTTAAGTCCCTTGCAGTTGTAAACCAAGTCTCTTCCATCCATGAAACTGGTTTATCAACTCTTATAACGTATTTTTATATAAATCTGATGTGTTTACTGACCTTCGGTGACTTTTTTGTAACCAACATCTCATTGAACATGCACTACAGACATGACGTCCCAGTTACGGGAAGAATATTAAATCCCTGCTCACCCAAAGTCCTGGTCCATAGACTTGAAGAAGAATTTGTAGTTGGGCTTGTTCAGGACCTGTTTAAAATCCAGCAAAGTGATATTTTCGGCAGCGATTGGAATCTTCACCAAATACGGCGTCTCCTCTTCGTCGATGTGATAAATTATTTTGGTTTCCGCCATTTTTGCGGTTGTTTTCCCCCTTTTTCACCTCCTTCTCCGAGAAGGAAAGTCACAAAGAAAAACGGATACAAAGTAAGAGCGGAGGTAGCGTTAAATGAGTTGGGGTAAGTTCTCCAGCGGCGGAGGCAGCTAATAGCTAGGTTGCTAACGAGCAACGATGGCCACTAAGATTTTTTTTCAAACCCGAGCCGGAGACAGGAGGGACGGTCGTGGAGCGTTAACAAAAATATCCCCCTGCTTGAAAAGCAGAGCTCCCTCCCTGCCTTTAAAAACTCAAAGCATTTCTCTCTATTTTTTACCGAGAGTCGGAAAGCAAAACGACCGGACACGCTACATTCACACTCGGGCTAACGAGCAACAAGTTTTCCCCTAACAAAAACATAGAGGAGGGAGGAGGAGGTAAGAGCAGAGGAGGGGGTCTGAAAACTTTTCTACACTTAATAAGAGCCAACGCGGCGTATGATGTCACCACGTACCCCCACTTGTGAAGTTGACGTACCTGCGCCCCCACGCCCCAACCGCATTAAAGTAATCGAAATAATGCGTTGTGTGTACTGGTAATTGTGGTAGATAAAACCATTATTCATAAAGTTTTTATTCTACGTTCAGTTGTTTCTACGTTTTCATACATTAATGGCGTGTAAAGAAAGACGTTGTTTTTTAATTCTTCTTAAAGTCAGTTTTTCAGTTGTTCTGTTTGTATTCAATCTCAAAAAGGAGGAAGGTTCACTGTTTTAACTTTTTACTCTGTTAAGTGTTTTTTAAGTGTTCACTCTGCAGGTACACACTTCACTCTACACTGTATGATTTGCATGTAACAAATACAATTCTTGAATCTTGAATTTTTGGGTTTTGGTAAGTACATCATTGTTACTTAATTGTACGTGGAAATGCAACAAATAATTCACAACTCAGCGAAGTAACTTAGTGTCTAATTGAGACCACATGCAGCACAGCAATGTCAATGTGAGAAAGTATTTGTGCACATGTTTACTCCATCACAATCCAGGTTTAAATAACAAAACAAATACAAATGTAACGCAATACTGCAAAAGAATGAAACTAAAACACTTCGAAAAATGTTTTATTAATTATAATGTTTTATTAATGATGTTTTATTCAATTTAAAACACCTAAAAGGTAGATTTGTCGATTAACCAGTAGAGGGCACACTTTATCAACGTATTCACAAACAAAGCAGCCGATGCAGAACAGTGGATAAGAATGATTAAAAGAGAAACACGTGCCATAAAGAATTAACATCAACCACAGCAGTCAAAAAATATATCTATCAAATAAAACACAAGAACAGATGAAAGCATGACGTTAAATCTTAAAATCCCAACTACTACATAAAAGGAGGACACTCCTGAGTCCAGTCAAAGTTGTCTGTTCAGAATGTGTGGCCCAAACACTACACCAACCACACAGGTGATCACAAACAGCACCCAGAAGATGATGGCCAGCAACTGAACGCAGAACAGCGTCTTCCTACTCTGCTCTATTACTTCCTCTTCACCCACCTGGTCTAGCACTGGGTCGTACGGTCTGTCAGGATGCATCTGCTGCACCTGCAGGCTGACAGTGGGCAGGATGATGAAGCGGGTGTCCCTGCTCTCACTCTCCAGGGAGAGAACCACCTTCTGGGTGACCGTTGCCAGGTGCGCAGCCATTGAAACGGGCAGGAGGAAGGGAGGAAGCCTGGCCAGGATGTGTGAGTTGCAAGGTAAAGAGAGAGCATCACCAGATTCTAGAGGAGTAGGGTGGCGACACAAGGGGCAGGGGATGGCCGGTGGGATATTGGGGTCAGGGTGCTCCAAGTGGCAGAGTTGGATCCTCTGGAGGCACTCAGTGCAAAACACATGGAGGCACTCCAGCATCCTGGGGCATTTGTTGTACTGGTTGTACTCCTGATAACAGATGGGACACTCCACATCCATGGGCTCCACAGGGATGGATGCTGCACCAGCTGGGTCCCCCTGCTGGGTAACAGGGACAGTACCCCCTGACATGGTGGGAAAAAATAAGGGTAAAATGCTTCCGGAGCGCACGGATGAAAGTTAGAAGGGATCTGTAAAGAGAAAATACACACATCTGACATCAAATTACAAGAACACGTTTCTGAGTTTACAAAATAAAATCTTTCCAACACATCACCACAGACGTGGTTGGATCAATCCCTCGCTTTTCCGATGGGAACCTGAGCATTCACAAACCAGCTGGGAGATTAAATCTCACCACAGAGTCCTGGGTCTGCTTCGAGGAGATGGACAAATGTGAAATAAACTTTACTGAAGGTCCACACTCACAATGAGGACAGAGATCAGACCGCCAAGGTCGACACCATCACCAGACCTCTACAGAGTCCTACAGGATTGAGCCCATGTGTCTACGTTGTCATCTTATGTTACACTCATTTTGGTTTGGTTCGATTCTGTTATTTTGGAGAGCTTTTGGGCCAATGTATGGACTTGTATTGACCAGTGGGTGGCGTAATAGTTTCCTGAGTTTACTCCTGCAGGTCTAAGGTCTATACACACCAGCATCTGTTTCTGCAGACCTGCATCTGCTGCTGTGCATCTTCTACCGAGCTTCATGATTAAATTCCACAGTGTGTGAGTCATGAAGTTAAGTTAACCTCACTGACATCCAGCATCCTTCACACCCCCACTCATATCTACTGACGTGCACCACGCCGTCAGCAGGACCAGGAAGTTACGAAATATAACAACAATAAACACATCACAGCAGCCGTGAAAGGAAGCAATAAGTCATCGCCGTCATGCATCCTGTTTTTGAGAGTTTCTTTCACCTTTTCAACTCGTTTTACATCAGTGAAACATCTGATACTGATAATCAGACACCAGATTATCTAATTATCTTTGCTAAAAAAAAACCATCACATCTCAGCCATGAATTTTACCAATAAATAAACCAATACACAGCATATTTGTGTGATTATATTTACATGTTAATATAAAAAAATTCGATTTTTGATGTGATATTGAAGAACAATCACATACTTGCCTGTAGTTTTGGGTAAACTCAGACCATTTGTGACCTTGTACTGTTAGTGGCTAACGCTCTGCTGCACTTGTTCCATCTGTCAAGGAAATATTGACCTCTTCTGGGTCTGTGAGATTCTGAATAATTCTTTACTGGACTTCTTTGGGGCTTTTTCCTCAGATTGAGAAAAAACACTGGGCTAGGTTTTTCCTAGTGGTCCTTCGGAGTTCTTCCAAAGTCTCTCATTATTAAACCAACTCAATGCTGCAGATGAGCTACCAGTGTCCATTATATGAAAGTGTTATGTAAACAGCTCAGAGGTGCGTATTTATTAGCCTCACTGACACCTTTTGTCCCTTGTTGGTTGCACTCCTGAGGAAAAAGTCAAAACAACCATCGTGGGTGGTTGCTTAGCAAAAGGCGTCTCCTTTTGAGTCGGCACATGGCAACAAAGTAGACGTGTATTTTATCTTGGTTAAATATAAATCCAGCAAATGCTGAATTTCTTTCTTTCTTTTTTTTTTAAACCAACTGCTTTGGAAGAGAAGCCACACACAGAGATCCAGCACTGAATGGCTGCTCTGTGTGGATAAATGGCCCACTTGTGTCTTCACAGCCACCAGTTGCAGTGAAGTCCTTCAGAGAGAGAAATGTGGCAGTGTTCCATTATTACACACTCAAGTAAGAGACAAGATGAGAGAGCCCCTTACCTGCTGCATAAAGCCTCTGTGATCAGACCACACTTTGATGCCAACCTCCAACCGCAGCACTTCCTCTCTCGCCTCCTTCTCCTTCACATGTTGCTGCAGGTCAGATCCTGGCAGCAGGTGGGAAAGCCTTCGTCCCTTATTTAAAATAACTCAAGATTTCCAGTAGCTGATTAAGCAGTAGGTGTTGGTGCAGTACATGTCACAGCTTGGTTCAGTGGTGCCCTCCTCTGTCTCGTTTCATCTTACCTGACTTACTCCTATCCAACTCTCCATCACACCTCCCATAAGGCCATTGGGGTTTGCTCTCTGCAATAATTAAACCCTTAGTGATCTGAGCGTAACCAGGACACACAGGACAGACAATATCACGGGGGGACGACTTCTTAGTCTGCTTCCTCAATGTCAGAATTTAAAATAGCAAAACCTGTCTAGCTGGTAATATTGTTTACTTTACTAAAGTGAGGTTAATTCTTCTTTTCCTTGTGACAGTACAAACATATCCTGGAGCAGGTTGTTCAGGAGAATGGCACAGATTATATCTGTGTTCAGAAGAAACCAAACATTCCTATCAGGCAGGAATAGGTCAATTATTTACAGATAAAGAAAGTACCACGAGTCGCACGAGCTTCACTAATGTGAGTGACTAATGTGACCAGTGCAGACCTGTCAACCTAAAACTGTTCTTTTCTCTGGAAAATGGCTCACATACAAAACAGTGATTCATTCTTAGGAGAAGGGTACGCTTACCGTAACACAAAATTGTTTAAAGTTCATGATTTATCAGTATGAGACAAAAATCAAACACACAGAGCTAAAATCAATGTCATTGTTTTATAACATTATAACTATTTGAAATATTGCAATTTGATGGAGTTATCTGGACTAAGGCAGTCAGTTATTGTCTTATACAGAACTTACAACTTAGTTAAACCCTGTGGGATCCTGTAACAACTAGCTATTTTGCGGTTAACAGTTAGATATATTTCATTTATGTTAAGACCATCAGGATTGTAAAATCATATACTTATATCTTAGCAATTTCTGCAACATTCATTTGTATTATGGCTAATGTTAAGCTTTCTTAGACTAAAACTGGTCAGTGCTTGATTTACCACATTTTCCTCCAACCATTTTATTTTTGCTTTGTTTTCATCTTACTGTTACTCTTACTGATTTCGCTAGAATTTATGGGCTCACATTTTGCCAACTTTTGGCAATTCTTTACTGATTTGTCTTACCCATAGTCTTTTGCAAGAGTCTTTGTTCAATTTCAGCAGTTGTTGGCTACATTTTAGACAAAACCTGGCTAACATACTGTAATTCCTGATATATCTTTTTACAGTTCTTTAGAAATAATAATTTAGCCCCTGTAAGTGAACCCTCACCACTATTTTCTAGTTCACATGTGTAAAACTCAGGCCCGGGGGCCAAATCTGGCCCACAGTGTAATTATATTTGGCCCGCGAAATCATATCAATCGTACTAGAGTTAGCCTGCCAGTATATAGGCCCTATGTACTGCCAGGATTTGTAGTATTAGCGGTGTATGCGCTATGTTATAGCACATACATTTTAGTTTAGTTTAGTTTTTTTGTTGGCCTGTGCAAAAAAAGATTTAAAATAAAAAAGGAACTTGAAAGGCTACAGATAAAGAGACATAATAAGAAACAAAAACCACTGATATGTGTTTTATTTCAAATTTAATTTCTCATCTGTCTACATTACAGATTAGAAGAGAAGGAAAAACATGCACAACTGCCGTCAATGTTTTAATACATATCAAGTTTGGCCCAGTTTTTCATTTTGGCCGGCTGTGAATTTGAGTTTGACACCCCTGTTCTAGTTAATACATTACTATCTGTCGCTAACATTCAACTATTTTTAGGGGTAAGCATTCATTCGTGAAGTCAACACATTGTGTTGTACCGTGGGCTGTTTGATTAAAGATGTCACACTACACTTGTGTCTAAAGGTGGGACAACGTCAGTTTGTCACATCTCTGAGTTTGCCATGGTAGAAAAAGCACAGGTGTTGTTGTAACCACACCAAGTCTGTTCTATTTATGTGTCCTGTTACCCACAAGCCAACACAAGTACAACAACTGAAAGAGCCCAATGGAATTCACCCTTCCCTAGTTTTATTTATATCTGTAAAATCCCTAATAAGACATGTAAGGATACGTTGTGTGGAATTTGAAACTGAAACAAATGTTCCACAACATGTGGTAAGACTGAAATAAACAACAAAATAAGAACACAAAAATGAGGAAAGAACTAAACATTTTAGCTGTTAGAAATAACCCTTGTTCATAATGTGCTGAGGAATATTTTACTGGAACTGTAAACACTTTTCCTCCTCATATTCCTTTCCACATATTTTAAGAAAAAAGATCTTATGATAACACTGAGCCTATTGTGTTCTATAAGATGAAAACATTTACAGTAAAGGAAAATGAGGCAAACGACGGGAAAAGTCAGTGACGATATTAACAAAAGAAAACAGAGAGTCTGAAAAGAAGAAGCGAGGGAGTGAAAAGGGGGAAGCAGCACTTGCCAAGATGACAGTGGGATATCACCATGAAAGGCTGCAACAACTGACAGGAAGAAGGCTGATAGGGGATTACCGTCCAGAGGGAAATGTACGTCATCGCTCACACACCCTCGTCTGGAGAAACAAGGTTTCTGGGATAAAGTCCAACTAGATCAACGTAACTAGAAACTCTTTGACTGATTTTAAAGAAGGTTATTATAGAAGACAGTTATGTTTTATCAAGTGTCGTTGTTCAAGTCTGTGACGTATTCACACTTTGATAGTGTGTGTGTGTAAAGCCATTATATGTGAGGAAAAAACTAACATCTAGGCACACACACACACATATATACATATACCAAAAGTATAGTCTCAGTAAAGGTGTCTTGAGAGGAGCATGAAAAAGCTCTCAAAAGTTAGAAAACAAGCTAAAATATAGATGAGAATATAAAAAAGCTTAAGGTTAGACAAAATTATAATGAAAATGGCTTAAGGATTTTGAATTTTTGAAACGTAGAAATCTAAGGGGTACCATGGCATAAAGAGCTAAGGTTAGCAAAAGGTACAGTAGTTCCATGAGCTACAGGGAACCCAAAATCACAAACAGTTGGACAAAGAATAACAACCGTAGACCATTGGCCCCAAAAGTTTTTCACCGTGTCCCACTTTTGTAGATCATTGACTGTTGATGACACATTCAAAGCAAATGCTTCAAATCTCCACCAAACCTAAGCTAAACAGTCTACTTCCTAGAAAACCATAATACTTACATAATGTCACTCGGGTGATATTGAGGAATATGCAGTGATATCTTTACTGGGTTGGTAAACATTACAATTACATTACAAACCCCTAACCCCCTAAAGAATTCCTGTTACTCTAATCGGTAAAATCTGAATTCTAACCAACAACAACAACAACAACACAGGTTAATGAGTCACTAATGTGACTCACCGTCATATTCTGACTTCATTGTTATCAAAACCAACTCAGAATCTGGTGACTAATAATCAAACCAAGACTCGGCCTCCTCACTTCCTCCCCCACACGCCGCACTATAAGACTCCCTGCGTCTCCCCACTCACTCCATTCAAACCAGAGTTGTTTATTCAGTATGTATTCTGAGCTGGAGTGTGGGATCTGTTACCGGCACTATACCCCGGGTCTGCGGTGTCCCCGGGAGCTCGGCTGCCATCACACTTTCTGTGAGAGCTGCCTCCGGGCTTTGTCCCGAACACCGACCCCAGATGAATGGCGCTGTGGAGCGGGCAGCTGTGTCATCCTCTGCCCGCTGTGCCGAGAATCCACGTTCATCTCCAGCGAAGGGACAATCCGAGCCGAGCTCCGGGTGGACGAGTGTGTCCTGGTGCGACTCTTAGACGAGGGAGTTCTGGAGCGAGAGGAGGAGGAGGAGGAGGAAGATCCAGTGGATCAAGTTACAGAGAACCAGAAGCTGAGCGCGACTACGCCTGAGACTCCAGCCGAGGAGGGTGAGTCCTCCCCGGCCCACAGAGGCAGCAGGCTGCGGCGGTCATGGAAGAAAGTTTGGCGGGTGATCAGTGGGAAGGACTCAGAGCAGAGCAGCGATCAGAGTAAGTCAGCATAAGATTTAAAATGTCAAACTTTTCTGTCTTCTCTTTTGATTAATTAACGTGTTCCTGTTCAAGTTCGGTGTTTAGTTCTGTCTTTACCAAAAGGCGTTACCAAAGTGTGGGTTGCGACCCAGAATAGATTACAAGGGGTTTCAGGGTTTGTTTGTTTTTTTTAGAAATTTTACAAAATAAAATCTCCAATATAGAGATAAATATGGTTGACACAGTGATTAGTGATTTGCTGAAGATTTTGTAAAAACAGATATTGACAAATACTTTTGATTGTTTGCATATTGAAATGCGGAAAAAAAGGAATTTCATGTCAGCATTTTATTTAAATGTATTGAAAAATAAATAGTAAAACAAAGAACAAATCATTTGTCTGATCTCCTCTCTTGTTCTTGCAGACTGTATCACCCACGACGACCTGAGGAGCCTGGCCATGATGTCCTGCTACATGTTTTGAAATCCACCTTGTTGGGGAAAAAAGCCACTCTACACTACTGTTTATTCAACTGTCTCCATGTGGACAAACGTATGACGATGGTGACGTATACGTATAGATCTCCAGATGTTTCAATCCAGTGATAACCAGATCCCCCATAAGAAGCTACTGAAGTCCAAATGAAAGGAAGAAAAGTTGTGATTCATCAAAGACGCTTTCTTCTAAAGGACAATTGTATTACTGAATTTTATTCTACTGTACTGGAAAGTATATTTATTTTTTCAACTATGTATTTATATGTGGATATTTTTACAGAACATTTTTGACGAAAAATAAATTATTATTATCATTACATGTAAGTGTTTTGTGTCCTTTTTTGGGTCCATCATAAAAGTGCAGGAACTAAAGTATGACATTTTAACGTAGGTAAAGTGTAAATATCCCATTAGGCTACAGACAGAGTTTAAATCTAGTCTAATAGATAGAAGGAAGATTGAAGTAATATACACATATAAATTAGCTAAATATAAAAACAAACAAAAAAACCCACATAGCTATAAGATAAGGTTAGCAAAAAAGATAGCCTTTGTGGTAGAAAATAAAATGCTAATTAGCCTTGATAATACATAAAATTATTGTATAATTTACAGCTTCATTAACTGAGAGTTTAGCAAAGCTACACATTAGCCTCGAGCAAATATATATACATACACATATATATGTTGATCGAGGAGGACTATATCTCACGAGCCGAGGCAGGAAGTGAATTACCTGAAACAGGTGAGCAGTATTTCCCCCAATCAGAGCCAACCTACAGCAGGCAGCACAGCTCCTTGATGACAATGACAGTGCATGGAGTAAGAACTCTGCTCTGACTCCCTGTCACAGTCGATCAAAGGGAATATTAGAACCTCTCTGACCACATTATAGAGCTAGAGGGAAGCTGTTCACCATGATGGAAAACACAGATCTTCACTCCAGGTAAATGTGATATTTACTTGTACGTTGCCTAAAAAAGTAATTTAATATTAAACTTTGTGTCATTGGGATATTTTAAAATTCTGATTTCATTCTGTTATTCAGTGAGTTTTTCCCTTTTCTTCATCCCCAGGCTCCTGTTTTTCTCACGGCTCACTCTGGTGTTGTTGATCACATGCTCTAACGTGGCAACAGGTTAGTGTAGTAAACAGGCCGCGGTCTACATTCTTCTTCTTCTTCTGTAGTGGTCACCATGTGGTATCTATAAGGTGAACATAACTTCACCTTAAACCAAATGCTGTTTTGTTGGACCTGACAAATGGGTCCAGAAGAAGGTGTTTGCTGTAGTTTGTGAAATGAGAGTTGTCACATGAGAGCTGAGGAAAACTGTCAAGTAATTCTAATACATTAAAGAAAACGTGTTTTTTTTTTCACATTTAGCCAATTCCACACCATTCCCAGTGAACAGTGGACCCAAGCAGAATATGAGAAGTTTGCTGTTTACTCCTTTTAGTCATCACCTGCATCCATCTCGAACTGGACACCAAACAGGAAGTGATCAGATTGCAGGTGGAGTGAGGAGTCAGTGGGAACAGATCCACCAATCCAGATCGAACCCTGATCCTGTGTCTCTGATGACAGGAACTCCCTATAATTCATACCCGGCCGTTGTACAAAAGTCATCCATGAGTGAATCTCGGAGTCCTGCAGATGTTCAGACCTCCAACAAACTGTTGTTCCAACAGCCTGTCAAACAGTCCAGTGGATCCCTGTCAACTCCAAGAGGTCTCCACAGCAGCCTACAGGAGACAAGAGATGTCTCTGCCACCAGGGGGCGGAATCATTTTTTCAGAGTTGAGAGTCAAAGTAACTCCAAACAACCAACATTAGCCAAAAACCACATAGACATCTCTGTTAGCCAACATAACCTTAACTTAGACAAATCTCCGTCATCCATCACACGTCTGTCATCGACCATAGTAGATCTGTCTCCGGGAATAAACCCAAGGACCATAAGTGAGGGATTACAACCCAAAATAGTCCACTCATATCTCTTCAAGGATCCACAGAACTCTTTAGACGCTGCATGGACAGCAGCAGGTGGAGGTCAGCTACCATTGGGTGGACTGAGAGGTGGTACCATGGCACCACCTAAAACCAGGACTTCTGAGGCCCAGGTTTATGGCATATTTGACTCTGGCTTTGAAGAATTGCACAAAAAAGACCCAATGAAGGAAAATCATGTCAGACCAGTGCATCTGAAGACCAGTGTCCCTCGGACTGCTGGTCAGAGACACAGCAGCAGGATTCCACCAGATCCTGGTTTAGGAGAAGATAAGCCTGAAGAACGTTCTCCACCCAATCCACAATATACTTCCATGAAGAACAATGTGACCAGCAATGAGAAACACGTGACAAGAAAACCAGTGAATACATCAGTAACTAGGTCACGGTTTGGTTTCAGGCTGGAAGGATTCCCAAAAATCTACGGCATCAGAGGATTCACCAACCCTCTGCGGTCAACTACACTCTCTTCCAAAGGAAGGAATAACTCTAGTCAAAACAGTTTTCCCTTTTTGTTACCAAAGTATGCCTTTGGTCGAACCAGATCTTCGACAAC